GTCTTTGTTACTAGGGTATTGTGCAGTTACCGAGAACCAAAGGGCAGCACACTGGGAGGTGAAATGGAACTGCTATTGAAGGGCATGCCAATGAACTTGGAATTGTTTTAAACTAGTCAGAATATTCTGGTAGTAAACAACTCAGTACTGCCATGCTTCTCATAAATCTACAGATATTTTTAATAATAGAGTCTGGCAATGAATAGACTAGAAACCAGATCCATGAGTCTAACCAAAAATCCAAGAGTGAAAGAGTGCTTTCTAATGCATGAGCCCTGAGGTGGTTTCCCTAAGGAAAGGGGGAATTCACTCTACTGCATGACCTCACATCCAAACCCCCACAGCTCACCCCAAAGCTCTTCCCCAGCAACCCCTTGAGAGCAGAGACCCGGAGGCTAGGTCCTCAGCAGACAGCTGGGAGAGTTCATTTTCCATTTTGCAAACTAATTTTGTTCTTGTCAGTCGCAATGCTCTGCCAAGTGGTGGATAAGAATTTCTAAATCAAAACCCACTAACCTCAAACCACAACCAGCTTGCGTAAAACTTCAGAAACTACTCCCAAACCAGAACGTACGGCAATAATACTAGAACTATTTGTAAAATACTGCCAGGTTTGTCACATTTAGAAAATTCAGAGCACATTTTTGGCACATAATCTATTCTGAATAATGGCAATAAAGATGTATATATGAAAATGCATGTTTTTAATAGACCTATTTATTTTATTGATGCGAGACAGTAAGTTAACTAAATCTCTACCATCAATCTGTATGGTTCAGGTACAGTTCCCATCTCTGCAAAGCCCATTGTTTCTCTTTTAATCCAATTATGCTGAAAGCCTTTGAAATTTATGTAGAAGCACTGCAGATTTTTTAGTTGCCTTGGTGAGTGTGTGTGTGTGTGTGTGTGTGTGTGTGTGTGTGTGTGTGTTACCTCCTCTATCTGAGACACCTGATTCATTGAGGGAAAAAACAGCCCTGAAATGTTTTAAGGTTTATGAAGTCAAAAGCTTATCTGACAACTTGTGAGACTTGTTTCCTTACTTTCACTGCTTCAGCCTGAACTCATAACCCCAGGGAAGTCAAACCTTCACTAGAATTTAAAGCTGGAGGCTGGAACCTCTAGGCCCAGCATCTAAAAGAGTTGCTAGGAGCCTTGACAGGAGATTAAATTGAGGACAGGGCTGGAAATAATAAGAAGTCCATTCTGAGTGGTAAGAAAGCCAACTCTTTGCTCAATAACTCGTGGAGGAAGCCAGGTAAAGGTAAATGTCTACCCAGGATGCTAATGATGAGGGAGTGGGAAGGAGGTGTGATTCTTCAGCAAGAGATGAATCTCCCTCAATGAGTCAAATAGGTGCTGCTCCTATGGAAACCCAATTATTTTTGTCCTTATTTGCACCCAGGCTTTTAAACACAGAATGTGCCAATAACAGGCCCATGCACTGGTGAAGTACAACTTCATTTCATCCAGGGTCAGCCAGGCCTTCCAGTGCTGCCTGCCACACACAGGACCTTAGAGCCCCAGGCCTATTAGGTCAGACTGCCACCTCACAGATAAGTAGATACGTAGTCTGCACTTCTAACTGCATCTTAAGGAGTCATTCCTCTGATATATTCAGAGTCCCTTTTATTGAGCTCCAAATGCTTCCCAGGCTCCATTAGGTCTTATCCAAATATTCTCTGATTTCTTCAGCCCAATTCAATTCTCACTCTTGCCTCACCATTATGCAGTTTTCATCATGGAAAAGATGACTCATAGAGTGTTTTCATTAACACTTATGTATTCCCTTTGTAACTAGACATCAAGCCAGTGAAACCCTCCACTGATGCAATGTGACAAGGCAGAAAGAGCACCATTTCAGACCTGGGTCAGTTCTTACTCGACTACTTTGTAGCAGTGTGACCTTGGGCAAATGATTTCACTATGCTGAGCTTCAGTTTGCTCATCTACAAAATGGAACTAATAATTCACATGGTAGACACTAGTCAGAGAATGAAGGAGATTGCTTGTGCACGTTGATAACACGGGTCCACTTACATCCCCTTCCTCTGCCTGATTTCTTTTTTAACTAGCCCCCCCACCTCAAGTCAGCTCTCACCCATTCTGTCACTGTTTCATTACCTCAGTGAAAGATGTATACTACACTTACCCCAGGGCAAACTGCTTCACTTGCACATTCTATCCTGATCCTTTCCCCACCATCTTCCACTTTTCTACTACTTCTTCCCCTGAGACTACTGATATGAAACTGACAAGTTTCTCTTGTCTTAAAAAGAAAAACCTTCTCTCCTTTTGCTTCTTGATAATGTTTTTCAAACTATTTTATAAGAGCAAGCTCATATAAAGCACTTTGACCTGGGTAGCCTAGAACTCAAATTAAGAGATGGTCACACACACATGGATAATGTGGCAGTGAGGTACAATGGGGCACCACTGTATAGGATAGCCCTTTCCATCCAGACAAAACCCCAAATTATGCCAGAGTCTCGATGCTAATATTTTAAAACTTTCAGCATCATGTTATGCCTTGTCGAATGTTTAAATACTTTTTCAAAAATTTTAAATTAGATTCCAAGGTTGGTTGTCCTACTTAAATTCCAAGGGCCTGTTTTTCATCCATCATATTTTATTTTAAAAAAATAATTTATACACACCATTGAATTCACCCTGTGTTTAAGACTCTGAATCACATAATCTTAATTCTTTGTGATTATCACCCAACTTCCCTTTCACTTGAAGAGTCAGAAGTTAGAGAGTATAAAAAAGTAAAACTGTCTGAGTAAAGTAAGCATGGTTCATCATGGTTTACATCCCTCTTACTGAAAATATTGCTTTAATCCTAATTGAGACAAAGACTTCAACCTCTGGATCTTTTTGGCACTCATTTATGGCCAATCTTTTCCTGTTCTTTCAGTTTCACCTGCCACTGTTCTTCCAAATAAATCCTTACCTAGAGATAAACTGGTTGACTCATAGTTTGGCAAACAGAACTTGGATCTTCCACTTGGACATACTGTACACAAAAATATCACCTTCCCTTCTCTCTACCTGTCAATTTTGTCCCCATGACTAAGGACCAGATCAAATCTCATACCACTTGTGAAGTGTGCTCTGACTGTTCACAATGGGAAATAGTCCTCTCTCCTCTGAACTCCTTTCGGGTTTCCAGATGAGCCATGAGGTAAAACTGCCTTGTGACAGCTAATCATATCTTGTTGATCTGTTTCATTATTTGACATGGTGTGTGCATACTTTCTCTCCCACTTACTTAGCCTGGAAGGTCCTAGTGGGCAGAAATCACTTCCTGCTCCCACAACCTGCCATCCTTAACACAGCCCTTGTCATAGTAAGCACTTCATATGTCTCTGTTTTACTTCTCCAACGCTAATTGAGCTTCCCTTTTTTCTGACTCTTTACAAAATATAGATGTTTTTAAAATTTATTCTTCATTATTGGAACGTCTTCTGTCAGATTTGGGTTCAGGTGTGTCTTAATAAGCATATTAGTTATTCCTTCTCCTAGCCAGTAATACATAAGTACAAGAATATCATAAATTGAATACCATTATGTGCAGGATGCTGAGTCAATTGCCTGTATGAAAGATTTCAGAAAACTTGAAAGACAGGGTGCAAAAAGGCAAGGATAAATGGGTGGTTGGATGGATAGATAGATACAGCTATAATAACTTAATACCAAAAAATAAGTAGTATAAATTGATATAATAAAAAAGCAAAGCCAGGCATGATAGCACATCTACAATTCCAGCACTCAGCTGGTGGAGGCAGAGTGATCATGAGTTCAAGGCAGGCTTGAGCTTCATGGGTTGTGCTTAATTGGGGGAAAATGTCTTGGAACAGGTCATTTGGACTCAAGTTTTCAAGGAAAAAGAGGGACCCCAGGGTCCTAAAGAGCAGGCTCTATGCAGAACCATCATTTCCCCACATCCTACAGTAATGCCTGGTCCCCCGTAGACATGCAGTTCATATTCACTCAATAAATGAATGACCAAATGCTGGAAGGAGTGAAAGCACAGCTCCTGCAGAGAGAGCAAGTACATTATGCTTGGGAAGCAGCAGATTTATTTTCCTGGTGGGAGCCAAGAAACAATGTGCAAAATGACGGAGAAGAAGAGAAGAAATGAGGAATGGCACTGGAAGACTACCAGGATTTTAACAGATAATAACAAACACTTTATTATCCATTCATTTGATTATTCCATAATTATTTGTTAAGTATCTATTATGGGACCAGACACTATGCTAACAACTGGAGATTCCGGTCTCTGCCTTTAAGGGTCACACAGCCTGTTCACTAAGAACTAGTAAGTGGTGGTCCACACTTGCAACCTCAGCCTTTGCTATCTAACAGCATTTAGTATAGGAGAGCTATCTGTCCAGCTTCAATCCTACATGACTCCAGCAGAGACCAGAAACCTTAGGTAAAGGGAGCTCTGACATGGAAAATGTCATAATGGATGATTTGGAGGCAGCAAGGAGAATATGAAGCTTAAAGAAGAATGTTCTGCCTGTAGGGTGTGTGGGTCTTTAGAATGGCCAGTTGAGTAGCTGTAGTATAAGTCTGAGTTATTTATGGCCAGGCATGAGACCAGGTCTGCCAGTTTCTTTGGCTTCAGACCTAAATGATGGGCTAGGAGGGGGGAAAAGATTTTTTCCATTGTCCAGTTTAACTTTTTCTTTAACATATGTTCCTAGAGTCAAGGTTGAAATTAGATTTTATTAGAATCCCAAATCAGAATTGTTTTATTTAGAGACAAACCTCTGAGGTTCAGCTGACACAGAGCAAATTAATTGCAGAGCAGATGTGGAAATAAATGAGATGCTGGAGCAGTAATTCCAAAAGCAGCGTGTCATGAGAAGACCTTGGTTCATTTCTGACATCTTCCAAATTCTAAGATCAGGACCCAAGAGTAAAAGATTTTGGCCTCATTTCCATGTATCTCATATTTTTTTCTTTTTCTCCTTTTTTTTAATCTGTAGGATGATGGCCTCCCAGAAAATGAACATCAGCTGTCAGTAGCTGGGAAGATAAAGAAGCATTTCAACACAGGCCCCAAGCCGAACAGTACAGCAGCTGGAGTTTCTGTCATAGCAGTAAGCATCTGAAATACCCACCTCTAACTTTTTAAAAGCAGCCTGCCTAAGAGACAGGCATTACTCAGGAGATTCCACCCAGAGACAGCAGAGCAGGTCATTTCTTTAGACATCTCCGTCACTTAATGCACAAGAGGAGGTATGGGGCTTGTATATATCGATGTGCGTTTGCAGAACATTTCCCTGGGGATCACATCATTATCCAACACCTCCAGGGTGTCTTGCAGTACATATTAATTTCATGATTTATTTTTTTAAGCAAAAACCTCCCCCACACCGGACTCGGTGCCAATGTAAACTTTTTGGCTAGCAGGAAAAGAATTTGCAGTGTCCTTTTGCCAGGAACCTAGAAGGGAAGGGAGACGACATAGGAGAGAGGGGTTGGAACACTACAGATCTTTATACTAGACCTAAACGAAAGCCAAAACCTAGGAGAAAGCTTACACCAGATGATTTTCAGGGGGATTGAATTGCTGAGAACACCCAGTGAAGTCACGATGTCTTGCTTCTTAGAAATTTCTGTTCTTAAAGTTGAAAGTCTTTTAGCATTTATTATTTCATTGATGCGGCTGCACAAAGATTCTCTTTTTTTCTTCTTCCTATTCTATACATGCAGGCATACACTAAACGTAATTTGATAGCTGCTCTAGGCAAAGATTAAATTGGTCCAAGAAATAATGAAAGCTCATACTTCCTGGTGTCATATTCTAGAGTAAATACATTCAAGTCCCAGATTACTTGAGTTTTTAATAATTTCCTTTTTTTTTCCAGAGTATGTAAATTTTAATAGCATATTCAATATGGAAAACACTTGAGCCGTTTTTCTTTTCTGAACAAAGAACTTAAGACACTACAATGTTGAATCTTTAGAAATTATTTATGCTATTCAACATTTCCTTGTGCTCATGAGTAGTACCAAATGTTTAACTCTTTCTGTGGGTGTTTTTATTTTCTTTTTTTCTTGTTTGGCTTTGCTAGAGCTCCAAGTAAAGCTAAAGATTAATAAGTGACCTATTTGATGCACCCAGACTCAGATCTGAGTTACTCAATATTTGATATGGGCTTTTAGAATTTGCAAATGGTACAGATGCATGCATACATGCTATGGTACTGTTTGCATTTCATGTTTCTCGGTAGTGAGTTACATTCGTGTGGGTCACTAGTGTGTGAATAAGCAGACAGTGTGGAATAGAAAGTAGACTCTTTTAGATGTTCCTCAGTGCTGCTGAGGTTTTAAAACTTCAAGCTGTTCCTCTCTTTAGTTCTTTCTAAGAAAATTCAATGTAAAAGTTAAATTGTCCTCCACGTCTTCCATAGATGGTCAGTGTTCTTTGCCATCAGCTGACAGTCATTTTGGCAAATAACAATCTCATGGTGATGCTCAACTAAACGAAATCTTCTACACTCTTTTTTCATTGTTCATTCAAGAGACAGGTCTACTGCAAAACATTTGGTCCACAATTTTCCTTTGGAATGGGCTGCCAGCACGTTTGTCCATGAAAAGGACTGCTTTTCTGCTCTGCTCAGGGCTTAACGCTGCTACAAAAAAGGTCTTTTCCATCTCGGTTATTTTGTTTTTGCTTCTCCTGCCCCTGGTCTTTCGTTTTAATCGGTCTTTGGTTAGGTTTGCCTTGGTTGCTCACTAAAGGTTTGTTCACAGTATTCTGGGAGTCCTGTAATGACTACGGACAGAAACTTCAGAGCAATTTTCCAGTTGATAGATAATACATAGTTAAGGTGAAATCCAATTTTAATCACACCTGAATACATTTTGAAACCTAATCCTTATCACTTCGTCTAAATGTATCTCAAAACACTCCAGTTAGGACTGGTGGAGTGGCTCAAGTGATAGAACGCCTGCCTAGCAAGCATAAGACCCTGAGTTCAAACCCCCGTACCACCAAAAAATTGAAGGAAAAAAAAAAACCACTCCAATTAATACTTGAAGACTGAAGGTCTGCTGATTTTTTTTCTAAATATCATGACTGGACCATTTGAAATGAAGTTTGAATGCAGATTTCTTAGTCTATCACTAACATATTTTCCGCAGAAACTGGAATAATAATAATATCTGTACAAATTATGAAGTGGTCTGTAATGCTGGGCTACACATTTTGGGGGGGGTTACACATTAGTTGAATCCTTATTTAATGTGTCTTATCCACCACAAAGTTTTAAAAAATAACTATCACTTCAGATTTAATTAATTAGCTGATTTTTGAAAAGTAGATCTTTAAAAGTGCCTAGTGAGCACTCAGCACAGACCATACATTAACTACTATAGTTAATTGTTCAAGGAGGAAAGAAAATACCTATGTCAATCTCTCTGTCTCAAGAGAAGATGATCTGCCCTGTTACCTGCTTTTATGCATCTTTTCCAGAATACTTCTCTCTCAAAGCACCCCAAACACCACAAGAACCCCAAGGAGGTCAAGAGCCCCAGGGTGGGGCTGGAAATTAGAAACTGATTAGTTTGGCTGCTTTTTAAACTTCAGAATAGTGTTGATAAGTCAAAAATTATTTCTAGATCTTAAAGTGCAAAGCCTAAGTATTAGAAAAAAGGAGCCCAGGCATTAAACAATATTCCATTCCAAACTCAAGTGTGACTGCCAAATAATATTCTTTTGTGAGACAGAAAAAAATATCCCTTATAAATGCTGTATTCTATACAGAACATAACAATTCATTACAATTATTGACTCATCTACATCATTAAAAGTTCAGTAACTAATATAACACAGTGATAATTTCTAGGTGGTAATTTTTTTAAAAACTGATTTCATTATAAATTTAATTCAGATAGAATTTTTTCATGTTTTTATATGCTCTTCCTAAAGGCTATAAATGATGTATTTTATTTTTAATCTGCCTCTCTCTTAGAACTTATTTCTTTGAAAATTATATACATGCTAGACACTTTTTAAAGCTGTGAGATGGTAGTATCATTTCATTGTTTGGTTTTTGTGTTGTTTGTTTTTTCAGGAAACCAACAGTTAAATTCGTCTTTACCTGGTACTTCTCCTTCTACCTTCTGCAGGCCTTATAACAGAATTCATGGCACTTTTTTCTTTCTTAGAATGACAGAAGAAAAAAGAGCATGCTATCTTAAACAGACTTATACCAGTGTAATTTATGACACAAGCGTAGTTTAACATGTATGCCAGGTTCCGGACCATAGTGTTTTTTGTTCATATTGTCTTTCTCTTCTCTGCTTCTTACCCATTACATTAAGACCAAAGAAAGGACAAATGATAACTTTATATGAAGGTTGCACGGGGCCTCAAGTTGACCAGGAGAGTAATTACCAGCTGGAGGTTCCCAGGGATCACAGAGCACTTCTGAAGAGAGGAAAGGTGTTCTGACATTGGGTCAAGCAATGTGGTTAGGCGGAGGCTCACTGCTGTCCATAGACTGGCAATGTTTTCTCTTAGAAAGACTCCATTGTCCCTCTGCTACCTTTCCCAGTAGTTGGGAGATTAAAAAAAAAAAAAAGCAGAGGAAAGGAAACAAAAGGTTATTAAAATGCAATTTATAGACATAAAATGGAATTGAAGATGACGTTTTAACGGTGGACTTTTTGAGAGCTGAGGGAAGAGAGAGAGGCCTTATTAGATTTGCTCAGCTTGATGAAGAACCGATGACTAACATGTCAGTTCCAATTTATTTTTCCCCATTTAATGCTGTTTATTATCTTAACCAATAATTTTCCTAATGCTTTAAAGTTCTTTGTTTGCATTTTGCTCATGCAAATAGAGCATTTTAGTCTAATTGAACAAATCCATACTAATCAGTGTGCATATAATTGTGATACTGGAAGCTTAGTTCTGGAAATACCTAATGCCCTGTTATATAACACTTTGCCTGTAGATGGCAGTAGAGAACCAGTTACTATGTAGCCCTCTTTGTGGACTAAAACAGATGTATACACCAGCTTCTAAGAATGAGTGTACTTCAATTTTTTCCCTGAATAAAATGAAATATGATTTTTTAAAAAGATGAAAACCTCACATTGCTTTCCCTGAACACTTGGATAGCTTAGTTTCTAATCAGAACACCAAATCCTGCAAGCAGTTTCTTGTTTAAATGCCTGGTGCCCTGGCATGTTTTTGATATGCCTTTGTGAATTTAGAAGTAGAAACTGTCATGAGCATCAAACCAGTGTGACACTTGAAACAACTCATGAGCCTCTCTCTAAAGAAAGGTGTATGAGTTGCATCCTACCATGGGCAGAACAGGGAAGCAGGCAAAAAACATGACTATTGTTTTCCAAGTTTGGGGGTTGAATCTTTTATTCCCAGAAAGGCAACAGTTAACATCTTAATCCAAGATACTTGAGAACTAATCCTGTGTTCTATTTCTGGTACCTTTTGTTAATCCTAAACCCTTACCTGTACCTATGCATTTTAATATAAAGTGAAAAGTGTTATTTTCCCTGTTTTCATAGGAAGATATACTGACTGTTTGTCTTTTTTACTTCAGAAATGTAATTAGAATTCACCTTTAAGAGTACTTCTGCTTTTAAAGATCAACTCTTAAAGAAAGAAATCCAATTGCTGTGATTTGTAGACCTCTAAAACTTGATTCTTTTCCTCTTTTGTTTCATAGTTCTGAAGCCCTCAAATTTAAGCCCAATGAGGTATTATGGGGAGGAGGGAATTTCCCAATCTGATTTCTCTTAGGTGGCTAAAGTTGATTTCAGAACTTTATTTAATTGTAAAGCATTTCCATTCTATGACATATGAAGAGGTATTTAATATTTAGAAATTGAGAGAGGGCATTATTAAATGTGCATTCCAAACCTGTCTGACAAACTAGATCTATTCTAACAAATTGGCCTCCAAGATAGTCATGAGGGATTAGAATCTTTTCTCAACTCTTTGTTTTCAATGTGCAGATTTACAGTATTAGCAAATTGCCCTGCAGAAGAGGCACCATCACTATATAGACTTACATAGTTGATCTGGAGTCTTAATTCTTTAGCACAATGTTGATCCACTGAG